AGGGGATTGGATAGCTTTTGCTAATAATGTACATGTTAATAAGGTATATGTCACCTTTGTGGGGATGGGACCGTGTAAATAAAGTGTTGTTGCTGTTGTTCTGTGCTGTTGAGTCAGACCCAGCTCATAGCGACCCCTCCTTGGGTTTCCAAGGCAGTACCACTATGGAAGTAGATTGCCCAACCTTCCCTCCAAGGAGTGGCTGGTGGGTTTGAACCTCCAGCCTTCTGGTTAGCGGTCAAGTGCCTTAGGCACTATACTACCAGAGCTCCTAAATAAGGTGTAAGGGACCCTAATGTGGGGATTGGTCAGTTTTGCCATCCTGCTAGCCTTAAAATGAGCCATCCCAGAGGTGGAAATTGTGTGTATACAGGGGAATCTCATTACCATCAAGAAAGAAGAGCCAGGATTTGTGTCCTTGAACCTAAGGTCCCTGCGATGAGAAGCAGTGGTAGAGAAATGGCAGCAGCAGAGGCAGCAGAATCAAGAGTCTGGCACCCAGAGTGCTGGGCTTACTGGCCCAAGGAGCAAGAAAACTGAGTGTCTTTGGGTGGAAGATTTGCTGGTGGAGTGAGGTGCCCCTCTGGGAACCTATCTACAGAGCTATAAGAGCTTTGTTATTCTTGTTTAAGCAGGGCAGAGGACACGGGGCTGCAGGGCCAAAAGGTTGAGGCCAAAGGGAAGCATGCCTGTGGCACAGCTGAGACGAAGCTGTCATGACTGAAGAACTGTATCCTGACTTGTTTCTGATCCTGAATTATAACCTGTCACTTCCCTAATAAACCCTATAATTCTGAGTATTGTCTGTGAGTTCTGTGTGTCCACTGCAACTGATGATTGAATCCAGCAGAGAAGAAGAATGCTGTGGGAGGGATGGCTGGTATCAGAATTGGTAAAGGTGTTGGAGGGTGGTTGCATGTCTGACCTCATAGGAATCAGCCTTGGGCTGCTGATGATCTTGATTCTCTCTCCCCATCACCAAGTTAGAGGAGGTCAGATGACACCCCGCCCATGCCCTTTTTGCAACTGGAAATGAAACAACTGGAATAGAAATAATGTGAATGTTGATACATTTGAAAAATGTAACCAATGTCACTGAACAATTTGTGTAGAAATTGTTAAATAGGAATCTAATTTGTTGTGTAACCTTTCATTGAAAACACAATAAAATATTATTAAGGAAAAAAATTAAAGCAAATTTTGGTTATAAGGCTGACAAGATAGTAATGATTTAACTAGCAAGAGCTAGAAGGGAAAGCAAGTAAATGGTGAAAGATAAAGTAAGTACATTGATTTTCTCATATGTTAGTGCTAGAGGGTCAAAAGATAACATTTGAAACTTATAAATCAAGTAACAGAGATGTACACATGTTTAAAGGCATAACAGTAAATATTAAGACAAATAATCTAACCCATTGCAGCAGACACTGCCAATTCTTTCAATCTCGACACATTAGCTAAGGCATATAGCCACTTGAGATTAAGGTTTTATTTCTCAGGTTTCTTTGCAGGTTAAGTGGTTTGTGCCACTTTGTAGAAGTCCCTGATAGGAAGCAGACATATTTTCCCTATCATTTTCTCACTGTATTTCAGAATGCAAAAATAATAGTTGGAACTCCAGTAGCTTTCTTGAACTGGGTGATGATGTTTGAATGAAAGCCATTCATGAAGAGTAATATGATAGGAAATTCCTGAGTCACTTATCTTTGGCATGTTGACATACTAGTCTTATGATTACCACTTCCAGACTTCTTGAAAGTGAAAGACAAATTTCTGTCTTCTTTAAGCCATTTGTTGTTGTTCTTATTAGTTGCTGTTGAGTTGGCCCCTGGCTCATGGCGCTCTCTTATGTTACAGAGTAGAATTGCTCCATAGCTTTCTCTTGGCTGTTACCTTTACAGTTGCCCTGGGGTGCAAACAGGTAAGCATTTGACCACTAGCTGAAAGGCTGTGAGTTCAAACCCATCCAGAGACGCGTTGGAAGAAGACAGGTCTTATAATCTAGTTCTGAAAAGTCACAGTCTTGAAAGACTTATGGAACAATTCTACCTGGACATATGGGGCACTATGAGTTGGAATTGACTCAATGGAGGCAACTGCCTTATTGAAGCAATTTGCTAGGCTGCTGGGTGGGTTTGAATCACCTCTTGGGTTATCAGCTGATCACAAACCACTTGCTCTACCCAGCCTCCTTTTAAGGCATATTGTTGTTGTTGTTGTTGTTATGTGCCGTTGAGTCGGCCCCAACTCATAGCGACCCCTGCTTGGGTTTCTGAGGCAGTATCACTAGGGAGGTAGGATTGCCCAACCTTCCTTCTGAGGAGTGGCTGGTGGGTTTGAACCGCCAGCCTTCTGGTTAGCAGTCAAGTGCTTTAGCCACTATGCTACCAGAGCTCCTTTTAGTGGTTGGTAATTGGTAGTTTGATATGATTTGTCCCAAACATAATCCTAATTAGTACAAACTACATAAGGATCACTTTTAAATGATACTGAGTACACAAAAGAAAAACTGACAAATGGGATGGTATATTAGGCTCCTGGAAAGGAAGACACAACATCATAAAGATGCCAATTCTCCTTAAATTAATCTATAAATTTAACACAATCAGAATACAAATACCAACAAGGTATTTTGGCAACCACACAGTTGTTGTTGTGTGTTGTCAAGTCAATCCCAACTCACAGAGATGCTGCAGAACAGAGTAGAACTGCCCCATAGGGTTTCCTGGGCTGTAATCTTTATGGGAGCAGATCAACAGGTCTTTTCTGCTATGGAGCCACTGATGGGTTTGGACCATTAACCTTTTGGTAGCAGCAGAATTTAAACAGAAAAATAAACAAGAAAGAATAGCCAGACTAATATATTTTGCATGCACACATATGTGTGTACTTAAACATAGTAAATAAAACAATGTCGTTCCAAAGGATAAAATGATAGTTCAGTGGAGCAGAATAGAAAGCTTAGAAATAAATCTAAATAGACACAGGAATTTAATAAATGATAAAGGTGGTATTACAAATCAATGGAAAACAGACTATTCAACACATTCAGTTGTATAATTATCTGGAAAAAAATAAATTTGGATCTCCACCTCATATCTTAAAGCAAAATACATTATGGATCAAACGTTTTCATAGAAAAACTATGAACTACTAAAGAAAATAGGAGTAAAAAGTTTCTTAAATAATCTAAGGTGAAAGAAGACCTTTCTAAATATAACATAAAACCTGAAGCCATAAAAGGTTTGTTAATTTAACTACACAAAAATAAAAAAGTTCTGGATGAAAAGTATCAATATATAGCGAAAAGAAAATATAACAAATTAGGAAAAAAAGTCTCAATTCTCAAGTCTTACCACAGAAAAAGGGTTGAGTTTCTTAAAATATAAAGAATTATTCTTAATCAAAAACAAAAAGTCCATCAAGAATAGTAAATATAAATCATATCCTAATCATATAAAATATTAAGCATGAAAAGACAGTCAAGTTATCCTAATAATGTAAAAAATTAAATATGAAAAAATGATCAAGTCCATCCATGATAAGAAATGCAAAATTAAACCTCATTGTGATACCATTTTCTCCTATCTGTTTGGTCAAGGGATGGTACTCTAGTGGTGTAGTTAAAGCATTTGGCTGCTAACCAGAAGCCTGGCAGTTCAAATCCACCAGCTACTCCACAGGAGAAATAAGAGGCAGTCTGTGCCAGTAAAGGTTTATAGCCTTGGAAACCCTGTGGGGCAGATCTACTCTCCTACAGATAGGGTCACTAAGAGTCAGAATCAACTCGACAGCAGTAGGGTTTTTTTTTTTGTTTTTGTTTTGGTATTTGGTCAAGATAAAAAGCCTTTGGTAACACTACTGGTAAATCAAGGAGGAAATGGAACTCTCACACGTTTACTGTAAGAGTGTAAATCGGTCCAAGCTCCATTGAAATCAATTTGGTAATAGCTAAAAAAGCGAAAATGCATATATAACCAGACATGAAATGTCATGTATACAAGGTTATTTATTACAGTATTGCTTGTAATAGCTAAATGCTGTCAACATCCTCTATTCTCATCAATAGAAGACTAGTTAAATACAGTAAAATATACTTATACTCTTGTTGTTGTTATGTGCTGCCGAGTTGGTCCCGACTCACAGCAACCCCTCCTTGAGTTTCTGAGGTGTATCACTACAGAAGTAAATTGCCCAATCTTCCTTCCGAGGAGTGACTGGTGGGTTTGAACTATCAGCCTTCTGGTTAGCAGTCAAGTGCCTTAGGCATTACATTACCAGAGCTCCTACACATACACTATGAATTTAATAAAACCATTAAAAAGCAAGGCTTGGCACACAGTCGTCTGAGCAATCCTGCAGAATTTTCTGCTTCTGAGAAATATGAAGAAGAGGACTGTTCCCACTAATTGAAATCACTAACAAACTGTGAATGAAAAAATCTTCAATTCTTTCTTGCGACCTTGCATATACGAGAAATCTAAATATTCAATGATCACAATGATCAACCAGATAGAAAACAAATGATTATCACCTCTTTCGTGTTGGAGACTAGTGTTCAAATATCACATGCAATATCAAAATGCAAAAGATATTTTAAAGTAGTGCTAATGCTAAGAGTATAGCCTAACAATGCATTTGGAAAATGGATCATCTGAAAGAAAAACCTGAGGAAATGTATCAGGTTTTCATATCCTCCACTGTGAGAGCATTATTTGTCCTAAAATACCATATCTTCTATTGCTTCTCCAACTCAAAGTGTGCATTAAGTGTTCTTTGGAAACTATGGCAACACTTTGCTTTCAATATTTTAAAAGGAACTTTTCTTAAGGACTTGGACTCTAATTTCTAATGTCCCTGCCAGTTAAAATAGTATTTTCTCTGTTCTAGATTGTTCTAATATTACCTAATTCTATTCACTATTCACAAACACACACACAAACACAAATACAGATACATGTGGAATTACAGACAACAAGATATGTCTAATGAATTCTTACCTGATAACGTGTTGGCTGATTGAGAATGCTGTTAAAACTGTGTGATTCAAAAACTCTGGAGTTAGACTGAGTGAAGAGGTTTAACTAGGAAAAAATACAATTAACCTAGTAAATTAGAATACATTTGTTTGGAAATCAGAAAAATATAATTTACTTTATTTTCCTTGATAACATTTCTGGAGTCACATTTCTGAGGGACATTTTATGGGAGCTGAGTATTATAAATGATTTAATATATTTCAAACGGTACAAATTAATGGGAGCAACATGCTCACATTTATCAAAATATTGGTAAGATGCTCTGTAATGGAGCTGTTTCATTAAAGATATATATATATATATATATATATATATAACAACAACAACATATATATAAACACACACACACACATATATATATTTTAAAAAGTTGGCCCTACTAAACATAATTTTTCCTGGATATTTCTTTGATACTTCATCAAAGTGAATACACAACATCTGGAAGACAATACTACACAAAAAAGTTCTAGTTGACCCTGAGCCAAAGTTCCTCTCCTAGCCTTAACACACACACACTGCAGGTTCAGATGTTATCATTTGATATTTTGTAGCCTTAAAATATTAGCCCAAATATTACATCTTCCCAAGAACTTTGGCCTTATAGTGATCCAATTTGGGGAAGAAATGGGCTAAACAGTTTGCTTCTTAAGTAGGTAGGAACAGCAGGCAAGAGGAACACAGTTATTGTCTACCCTTCATATATATATGAGGCGGTCCTGTCTCTTATTGGTGGGTAAGTTGTGACCTATAATGTGAAATTCTATCCAAAATTATATATTCACTCCACTACCTGACTTCCCACCTTTCATTCAGTTTGGAATGCTAGGAAAGAAGGAAGTGGCACTGTCAGGAAAGGATCTTCCTGACTTTGCTGTTGGGGCAGGAAAAACTTTGGCTAACAAAGTTAATTCTCCTATTTCCCACAAGAGGTCAGTATCTGACTGCTGACTAAGCTTAGCTCTCTAGGCTAGCAGAAAAGATTCTTGACGTTTCTTCTTCTTCTCTAACCTCTCCTCCACATACAAACACACAAGTATAATTTATCCCAATTTTTTTCTAAAGTGTCTATGAGTAGAAATAAGAGTAAAGGTATTTAAATAGCTTTATTCACAATTTAAAAAATTAAATAAAAATGGTAGTTTTTAAGCAGAAATGGAGAAATTGAGAAGCCAGTGAGCATGAGTCCTGAGAGGTGAGTGCTCAATCTTCCTTCTATTTCCAGAACTCTGAGAAAAGCTATTCTTTCCTATCCGGCACAATACAGGTAGAAGTCCACCACTTCTGTTCTCCTCATACTCCTGTGCACAAGCTGCCTCTCTTTTCTAGGAATCTTACTAGCCATGAGTTATTTGGATAACCAATTCTGGCTGCGCTCTTAAACCTGATTCTTGGTATTTCCCCCTTTCATATTACAAGAGCATCAGGAAAGACATTGGTGAAATTCAGTTGCCTACAGAAAGAAAGCTTCAAGGAGTGTTCTGTGAAGTGCTAGAGTGGCGAGTTGCGAAGTTCTCTTTCTAAATAATAGAGTCTCAGTTAATACACTTCCAGGTGAGCAAAGCTTCAAAGCAAGGTCAATTTCAGCAATAGCAGAAGCTGCTCAGCATGGCAATTAGAACCTGGCCCCTTTAAGAGAGCACCTAAAGGTACAGCTCGTGGTGAGGAAGCCGGCAGTAATCAGGCCAGGGCAGCAGCTGCAGAGCAACAGAGGCAGCCAGGTACATTAAAAGCTAGCATCTGGTGTTAAAAACATGAGTTCCAGACCCTCACTGACTAGCCCCTGTGACCTTACATGAGTGAGTTATTTTAATAGCTTCAGTTGTCTTATCTATAAAATGGGAATTATAATAATACCTACCTCACAGCGGTGCATGAGGTTCAAATGTACAGCAAAGCACTTTGTAAACTGTGAACGAGGAAGGGCACTGATATTTGTTGAAGCTGGTACTTTACACATCTCATACAATACTCACAAGAACTCTACCGTGTTTTCTCTTTCAGATGAGGCAATTAAGGCTCAGAGTGATTAAGTGATTTGAGTTACTTGCTAATAAGCCATCAGAGCCAGAATTCAAATTTAGTTCTAATACCCAAGTTCTTTTCCTTACATTGCAATACTTCTCATTATATACATATTGAGGTATTTAAATCATGGGATGTCACAACCAATCAATACCTTGCAACCTAGTAGCCTTAAGAGCCCACATCCACTTCAAACAAAAAATGATTTAAAGAGGTCACCTTTTTAGAAAATAAGATTCTAGGCCATTACAGATCTTGGAAACTCATACCTCTTTTAAAATGCAAGAAATTAAATTGTACTACTCCTTTTTCCCCCCAGTTTCAACCAAGAAAAAATCTCTCTCTCTGCTCTGGAAACTGTACTTCATGGAGAGAACCTTACTACTTTGTGGCCTTCTACAGCTACACATCCCTTCCAGCATACTGCATCTCCACATTTAGGGAAAATTATATTTTAACCCCACACATTTGCTCCTATCTGCCTCCCTCCCTATTATTTGGGGTTCTGTATACATCTTTCTGTCTCATACACCAATTCTATGTCTGAAAATTAAGTTTATGATAATCAAATGCCGTCATGAAAATAATTTTCTTTGTTTAAAGTATGACCCAACTGGGACAACTCAAGGACAAACCATTTCTGCTTATGATTAAAAGGGATGTTTATGGTTAATATTTGAGAATGCTGAGGACTGTATCAATTTTATGAAATTAAAGAAAAAAGATTATTTAGTCCAGTAGAGAGTTTCCACTAATAGGAAGAATATGATGGTGGTGAACAATACAAACACCAAGAGGAAAATTCGAGATTAAAACTACTTAACTTCAGAATAACAGTTGAGAAGCATGGAACACAAAAACACAGTGTTTTCTAACAATAACTTTTCTGTTTACTTCCAACAAGTTAAAAAAAAAAAAATTGTTGTTCGTTTAGTTTTAATTTGGTAGTTTACATGAAGTTCTGACCAAAAACAGGTCATAGAATAAGTGACTTCTTGAAACATTTTATGATGACCTTAAGTATTAGTCTATGAAAGACCATGGATGGAATGGAAAGTCACTTTCAACATCTTCTAAATTTACACATAAAAATTATTGAACAAACAGTAAAAGACAAGGAGAAAGAGACAACACATTCATTTTAAAGTCTTGGTAAGTTTTTAATACCTACCCTGGACTTTGAGTTACCAATTCCCATTTCTATATCCTTCTGTAGCCTTCTCTTTCTGCATTTGGAAAAGTTAATGATCCTCATGATGAAATAAACAAATGATTTTGGACTAGGCACTAGACTGAAAGGTGGAGGTAATGTTTTTCCATCATCAAAATAAGATAACCAAAGTTTTGAACGAGCAAACTTCCATTCTACGTCACTGTCATCCTGTGTCATAAAAGAAAAGAATAACTGATTTTAAAAAAAATGAAATAGTAACTGATTCCAGTATGATTTTGCATTGAACTTAAATTTTATTTTTGAAATATATAAGTAACTATGTACATTTATCTGTATATGGGCCTACATAAGATTCTGAGCATCACTTTCATTGTATCTATTTGATTTTTCAGTAACATAGGCCTCTGTCTGCACCCACTGAAATTTAACCAGAATTTTCCATCTCCCTTCCAAAGGCAAAGTAAAAAGGCAGGAAAAATTCAGAATGTGGTAGTAAATTCATGGGGACCCCTGCTGTGCTCCTAGAAGAGGACTCTGGAAAGTCTGTGACTACCTATCCAGGTGGGAATGGCCCAGGCTCTCTCTGTTTGCCTATAAGCCTCTTCAGTTTACAAGAGCTTGAGCTTCATCATAAGGGCATATAAGTGGATGCAGTATACTACTGGAATGGGATGGCAAGGTAAGACACTATCAATAGGAAACAGGTTTACCTCAATTTCTTGATATGAGCTATTAATCATAGCAATTAGCATGTTGAGTAAAACGACCACCATCGTTACATTGTATATTCCGTAAAGAACATATCCAATATTCTCTATGAATTTGTGATCATATTTGAGCACAACAGAAGTCACTTCAGACAACCCAAATATTGACCAAAACAAAGTCTTGAAACTTTCTTCTACACTGTTGAAAGAATAAGGTATATAGGTAAATAAATAGTTTTCAACATTAAAAAGTCAAAAGTAAAAACAAGTTAGGATCTGAATACTGTACAGATGTAAAATTCCATTGCAGTAAACTCCATGATTAGAATTATTTTGTTAACAATATTTAGTAAAATTCTCTCAACTTTTCAAGAAATAGTGATTAAATGGGGCCAGTACGTAGCTTTTCTGTAAGTCATCAAGTGAAAATTCTCTGAACTTGATAGTACCCCATTTCTTTCCTCTTGTAAAGAGGAAAGGTTACATTTTGATTTGGTAGATGGTTTAGAAATTTAAATCAAGGTTTCTAGAGTAGAACAGCATTGTTAAGGTTAAAATTAACTACCTACTACCAAAAAAGTATATTCCAACATGTTCCTTGGACCATTATTTGCAGTAGGAAAGAATAAACACAACTTAAATATCCATCAATAGAGGGGACTGGATAAACACATTCTGGTACATGAATGCAAGGGAATGCTATACAACTATTGAGAACAAAAATCAGATACATCTGTCTTCATGTGCTTACATGAAATGATATCCAAGAGTGAAAAAATAAGGTGAAGTAAGTATAGAATACTCTATTATTTGAATAAAAAAGAGGGATGTACAAATACCTATGTGGAGCTCTGGTGGCACAATGGATAAGCACTTGGGTGCTAACCAAAAGGTGAGCTGTTCAAACCTATCTAGTGGGTCCAAGGACTTACTGATCTGCTCCCAAAGAGATTATAGCCTAGGAAACCCTATGGGGAAGTTCTCCTCTGACAAACAGGGTCACTATTGACTCCACAGCACACAATAACAACAAATACATTATTCTTCCTTATGCAAAAAAATACCTCCAGAAGTATCCAACAGAAACCATTGTCTCTGGGAACCAAGGAGAACTGAGACTGGAGACCAGAGGTGGGGATGGAGCAGGCTTTTCACTCTAGACACCTTTGTATTTGAAATTTTTGCCAAGAGCATATATCACCTACCTAAAAATAATAATGAAAATTTGAAGAGGAAATGAAAAGGAGCAAATAGAATGAAATATTCCTGTTCTTTCCCCTTAATCTATCTCCCGGTCCTTCCATCACAGTAATTAGCAGTTAAGCCCTTACCAGACTAATTACCCACTTTTATCCCTCAAATGAGCTTTGCCGTGTATTTGGCTTATTTTGTCATAAAACCATGTTGAAATCACTGACATGGGAGCTGAATAAATAATCCCTTAATTAAATAAGCCTACATATAAAATCCTATTACAAAGAAGGGTTTTTAAGTAAGTCTTTTATCCAGAGGAAGGATTTATGGCAGAAACAGTACTTTTTCTTAAATTTGTTATTACAGATTCCAAACAACAATCGATCCTATAGATTGGTAGGTTTTGGCATTTGTTTATTAATTAATTAATTCAACAGCTACTGTGTTCAACAAATTGAGCAGCTCCAGTGTTCTAGAAATTGTGCTAGACCCTGAGGACAGAGAGGTGGCTAGAACAGTCATGCTCCCTTAATAGTTATTCCCTATTAGGAAAATATTTTATTATGTCATGTTGAGGGATACAGTAGCTCAAAGAAGACTAAGAAAATCTACCACCTTTTTGTTTCTGTCATGAATTTAACATTATCACCAATTCTCCCCTTCCTCCTTCTCACTCTTTTGCAAACCGTTCCACCCCTAACTTCTCTTCAAATCTGTAAGCACAATGGAAAAAAAAGAAAAGGGCACTGGCACTTCCTGAGACACCTATTGTGAGCAAGGAGCTTTATATAAATTATCTCACGTAACTCTCACAATGACTTCATCTAATGATTTATTTAAATCTTGTTGTTGTTAGTTGCCATCAGCCCCGAGCCATGGTGACCTCATGCACAGCAGGGTTGGACGATTGTGATCCATAAGGTTTTCATCGGCTGATTTTCAGAAGCATTAGGCCTTTCTTCCTAGTCTGTCCTGGTCTGGATGCTCTGCTGAAACCTGTGCAGCAACACAGTGACATAACGGCCTCTACTGACAGACGGGTGCTGGCTGTGCTGAGGTGCACTGGCTGGGAATTGAAGTTGGTCTCCTGCATGGAAGGGGACATTCTACGACTGGACCACCACTGCCCTCCATTTAAAACCTCAGTGTGCTCATTCTGCTAATAAGGAAACTGACACGGAGAAACCAAAGGCCATACTTAAAAAATAGCAGAGATCACATATTCAAATCCAAGTAGGCCTGATTTTCAAGCCAATGCTCTTTCCACCACATAATCTCCCTATCTCTTAAAATAGTGAAGAAAATGGAATGTATAAAATCAACGATATAGAGTTAAAAGGAGGAAGGAGGCAGGGGTGGCATTGTGTAGAGCATGTCTATGTCCTTTTCAAACAGCTTTTTCTTCATTACATCAGAATGAGTTTTAATTCTCTTTTACCTCTATGACCTGCTCTATATTAACTATATAAAAAAATTAATTTCAGAACAATTTAGATGTCTCAAAGAGCTTGATATACTAGTCTACAGGGAACTTACCAAATGTCTGTTTTGTTTGCAGTTTGGCAGAGGGGTACAAATGAATGCAGAGAAGGCTAGTGCTCTCCCCACCTGAAAGGGCTGCAATAAAACCCAAACAAAAACCAAAACCTACTGCCATCGAGTCGAGTCTGACTCATAGTAATCCCCACTGGGTTTCCAAGGCTGTACACCTTTATGGAAGCAGAATGCCTCATATTCCTCCCACAGAGCAGCTGGTGGTTTAGAACTCTGCCTCCAAGACAACCAAATACTAGTGGTTAAGACAGGATCTCACAACTTGAACATCCACATGCTAAGGGAACTTAAATGAATAACTACTGACAAAGTTTAATCCATGAAACTTCAAAGAGAAGATAAGTGCCCAATTCTGAGAGCAGAAACCAGCAAGACCAAAGGAAGAAGGTAGTATCACCTTTATGACTAGTGACCAGTTGCTGCTGAGCCAACTCTGGCTCATAGCAATCCCATGTGTCAGAACAGAACTGTGCTCCATAAGATTTTCAATGGCTGATCTTCTGAAAGTAGATTGCCAGGCCTTTCTTTCAAAGCACATCTGGTAGACTCAAACTATCAACCTTTTGGTTAACAGTGAGTGCTTTAACCATTTGTACCACCACCAAGGCTATTACTTCAGAGAGGACTCTAAAGCATTTAGCTATAATTTCCTCTTACCCAACTCTGTGTACTGATTAATGAATTCATTAAAGTAAAACCTGATACTTTTATTTTTAATAGTAGGGCTGGCTACAAAATGATGAAACTAAATTTAATGTTATACATAATGCAGGAGACATCCAGTATTAGAAATCTGTTACCTGATTCTTTTAAAACAGCCAGTGTTACCTAGGATATTTCCAAATTCAGATGTGTTCTGTGGTCAAATATTCACTAAACTCAAAGAGACAAGCCTTCAGAGGCAACATAATCACACACAAACATTAATGGTTTTTAATGGATTTTCTTTCAGTTTTTAAAATCATCTTTATTTATTACAGTCATTGAAATTTTTCCTTTGCTTCACCTAGACTTGAGAGAATTTCTCACCATATCTTTTGAATAAGTTTTACTTACGTGGTGAAAGCAGCATTTACTTTAGCCCCAAGGTAGTAAGAATAAAGAATAAACATGCCAATCATAAACGCAAGAAAGACCATAATAAAGAGGACCATGAACTTGAATATGTCCTTTACAGTCCTTCCAAGAGATATCTGTAAGGGGCCAAAGCTCTCATTTGCAGGGAGGATGTACGCAATCCGAGAGAAGCTGAGCACAACGGCTATGGCATAGAGGCCTTCAGATATAATCTGAGGGTCAGAAGGGAGCCATTTATCTCTGGCTAGAAAACAAAAAGAGAGAAGGTGATTAAAAGTGGACCTTCCTAGTCACTGCTAGGCACACAAACTGAATACCTTAAACAGTTTCTATCTTGTAGGTAGGTGGTTATTATCTCAGTTGAAACTACTATAGATTTAAGTAACTGTGTCTAAGCACTAGGTTTCATGTTCAATAAGACATGTAACTTCCACATTACTTTCAATGAGGAAACACTGTTCTAAAGATACTAAGCTGACTTTATATTGAGCAGAAAGGATAAAATACAAAGGATGACAGAAAGGTTAAAATACTTCATTAGACATGGACCATGTCCAGGAAGACAAAACAGCTGACTTAACTGATTTTTTTCCTAATTTATTAGATGTATTGGTTGGCTATTTTGTCATCCCACAGACACAGCTGGTGTGAAACTTTTCCCCCTTTTAAGCATTCAGCCATAACCAAACGGTTGATGGTTTGAATCTACCCAGAGGCACCTCAGAAGAAAAGCCTGGTGATCTATCTCCACAAAACCTGCCATCAAAAACCCTATGGACCACAGTTCTACTCTGACACACATGGGGTGGCTATGAGTTAGAATCAACTTGACAGCAACTGATTTTGTTTTGTTTTTTCCTCTTCCACAGAGCTGCCTTAAAAAGTCTTCGGAGACATGGCCAGAGGACTCTTCCCAAGCACAAACCCATACATACTCTAACATATGCACATGCGATTCCTTTTGTTTTACCTTTTATGTTCAAGTAAGGTCCATAACATTTCTCACCCACTAATGTCAAGGTCAAGGAGCCCTGGTAGCCAATGGTTAAGTGCTTGCCTACTAACCAAAAAGTTGGGAGTTCAAACCTACTGGCCCCTCTGAGGGAGAAGAGACCTGGCAATTTGCTCCCATAAACATTACAGCCTAGAAAACCTACAGGGCAGTTCTACTCTGTCACATGGAGTCACTGGGAGTTGGAATCTACCCTAAGGTGCACAATAACACAATGTAAAGATCATATATCATAAAACAGGTATCATTATGCTGACTTAAAATGCTAATACTTTCAGAAAATTAATAAACTCAGAAAAGAAATAGAAGTTGTGTAATAAAAGTCAGGGCATTTTAAAAACTATGGGTTAATCCAATACTCTAAAATTGTTGATCTGTGAAGGAAAGAAGTTAAACAAGATATTGCTGAGATGATTACTAGAATTGCTATAGACTTCCTCTTCCACCAAACTCTTCATGCTACTTAAAAATTATCACAGATGGGACAGATTAAGTAGTAGTGAATTGGGTTCAGTTGGGAAATTAACTTTGTTTTTATTTTATTACATTATTATTGTGTACTCAAAAAAAAAAAGACCCTGGAGTTGAATTCCAACTCATAGTGACACTATAGGACAGAATAGAACTGCCCCATAAGGTTTCCAAGGAAGCAGACTGCCACATCTTTCACCCATGGAGTGATGCTGATGCTAGTGTGTTGGAATCATAGGCCACAGGCTAGTAATTGAGTGCTTAACCACTGCACCATCAAGGCTCCCTTATTGTGTAGGACCACTTATGATGAAATAGCACAATTTCTTTTGAGTATAGGATCATCAATCAATGTGCAGTGAAAATGTGAAATAATTTATTTCATACATTTAGTTTAAATGCTTGGCATATGCAAATTGATAAATATGCACATGAATTAAAATGCTGTATAGTATTAACTCTATTAAGAAATAGAAGTTCTACTGTTACATGCACAATACTGCATTACCACTAGCACCAAACACAAGGCTATTGATAAATGCATAGACAGGTGAGAAGATCAGGTGGGGTAGACGAACAGGAATATACCCTAGACCAAGGATAGATCTGGCTGAAGATAATCTTACATATGCACTTGTGCTACAAAATTAGCCACTTACATTATACAAGCAACAGAAGGCAGAGTTGCAATAACTTCTCAGAACAACCAAACACCCTGAGAGAGAATCACTGGGCCTGTGGGCTTGGGACCATAGTCTCAAGGGACATCATGCTCAAGGCACAATATTGTACATAAAAATCTTGTTCTACAACCTACTTTGGTGAGTAATGACTAGGTTCTTAAAAGCTTTCAAGTGGCCATCTATGATGCAACTATTGTTCTCCTTTCATATGGAGCAAAAAAGAGTGAAGAAAAGCAAAAGCATCTGGAAACAAGGATAAGATGGACCACAAGGACCTCAGCCTGCATGACCCTGAGTCCAGAAGAACTAGATGATACCTGGCTACCAATGCTAACCGCTTGGAAAGGTATCAATATTTGAGATCCTGGATAGAGCAGGAGGAAAAATGTGGAACAAAATTCAAAAACATGAAAAGACCAGAATTACTGAGTGGAAAGAGACTAGTGGAACCCCCAAGAGTACCCCAGGAGTACTCACTTCCATGGATTGGCTCTCAGCCAGTAGAAAGACCTACATGCAGAACACCTATCCCAGGGTGATGCACCCACCTACTCTAGGAAGATATACCCCTTAAATCAATCAGCCATGAGACACCAGAGGAGCAACATTCACATAGAGGAAAAGCTGGACAGACAGGAATGCGTAGTTAAGAAGGGCACAGGGAGGGCGTAGTCACAGGGAAAGGAGGGGAGGAGAGTTTTTTATAGCTGGGGATGGTAACTGGGGTCATTAAATCAAATGTGTATTGCATGAACTATTGAATGTAAATCAAATTTGCACCCAAAGCACAATGAAAAAAAATTAATAAGTAAATAATAATAATAACAATAAAAGAAATAGAAGTTGTAATAACACTGATATCAATGTTATTCTATTACAGTGGTCAGTAATAGAAATAATATAAGTGATATAGATGCACTACAGGATCCTACACAGAAGAGGATTACCTAGGAAAATGCATTAAACATTAAGATGAGGTGAAATATGTTAGGAATCAAAGGCTATGTATCTCAAAGTTTGAAAGCTGGGTCTGGGTTAAGGAATAATAAAGGCATAAGAGGATCGTCCTATGCTCAGAAAGGCTTGGAAGAGGTGGATTTGCATTCTAGAAATATGAGAAACTCCTCTAGACCAATATTAAGCAGTAGAACTTCTAGAAACTTTAACAGTGACTTCACGAGCAAGAATACCCTTCCTGAGAGCAGATATGAACAATACTAACTGTCTGAAATTTTTCTTCTCCCCAGATCATAATATTGTTAGGTTGGTGAGACTAGTGCATTTCTTAACCACCACAATAACCAACTTCCACTGCCTGAAATACAATGCATTTATCTATATGAAAATGTACTGCTGATGCTGCTAGTGCAGAAAAAAGAGAAAAAGTGGAGAAAGGCAAAGATGCTAATTTCAGATTTTACAAGTTTATCTAGGGTCAGCTCTGGTGACCTTAAATGAGTGAAGCAATAAAAATATTCAGAGTTTTGGTTCACTTGTTTGTTTGGATATGCAGTTACAAAGCAGGCAACGCTTCATGATTTTTAAAGATTTCTTTTTTTCTAATAGATAACTTCTATAAAAACACTTCTATGAAGAGTTCAAGGAGTCCTGGTGGAGGCAGGGATGAAGATCTCAGTTGCTAACCGAAAATATGGTGGTTCGAACCCAACAGCATGCTCTGCGGGAGAAAGATTTGGCTTCCATAAAGATTATAGCCTTGGAATCCCTATAGGGCAGTTCTACTCTGTCCTATAGGGTCTCAATGAGTCAGCATCGACTCGACGGCACAAAACAACAACATGAACAGTTCAGTTCTATAATGAAGTTTTGTTAACAGAAATATCACTGCACACTCAAAACAAATATAGGGGAATGTCTATTATAATATTCATATGCCTATAAGGAATACCCACTAATACTACTATTTTTCAAATTTACACACCAACCACTAAAGCCAAAGGTGAAGAAATTGAAATTTTTTTTACCAACTTCTACTTTATGAAATTAAACATGCAATCAAGATGTATTGATAATTATTGGTGATTGGAATGCAAAAATTGGAAACAAAGAAAAAACACAGGTAGTTAGGAAATATGGCTTCAGAGATCACATGATAGAATTTTGCAAGGCCAATGACTTATTCATTAAAATACCTTTTTTCAATAACATAAACAGTGACTATACACGTGGACCTCACAAGGTGGAATATACAGGAATCAAACTGACTACATCTGTGGAAAGATGTGATAGATAGAGAAGCTCAATATCATCAGTCAGAACAAGGCCAAGAGATAACTGTGGAATAGACCATCAATTGCCCATATGCAAGTTCCAGTTGATGCTGAAGAAAATTAAGTCCACAAGAGCCAAAATATGATGTTGCTTATATCTCACATGAATTTAGAGACCATCTGAAGAACAGATTTCATGCACTGAACACCAGTAACTGAAGACCAGATAAGCTGTGGGATGACATCAAGAACATCATGTATGAAGAAGGCAAAAGGTCATTAAAAAGACAGGAAAGAAAACCAAAATGGATGTTGGAAAAGGCTCTGAAACTTACTATTAGAGTAGCTAAAGTGAATGGAACAAATGAGAAGAGCTGAATAGAAGATTTCAAAAGCTGGCCCAAGAAGACAAAACAAAGTATTATAATGAAATGTACAAAGACCTGGAATTAGAAAACTGAAAGAGAAGAACATAGTTGGCACTTGTCAAGCTGAAGGAACTGAAGAGAAATTCAAGCCTCGATTTGCAATATTGAATAATTCTAATGGCAAAATATTGAGCAATGCAGGAAGCATCAAAAGAAGATGGAAGGAACACAGAGTCACTGAACCAAAAAGAATTGGTTGATAGTCAGCCATTTCAGGAGGTGGCATATGATCAAGAACTGATGGTACTGAAGAAACATGTCCAAGATGCACTGAAGGAATTGGCAAAGAACATGGCTCCAGGAATTGATGGAATACACATTGAGATGTTTCAACAAATCAGTGCAGTGCTGGAGACATTCACTCGTTTATGCCAAGAAATTTGGAAGGTAGCTACCTGGCCAAATGACTAGAAGAAATCCATATTTGTTCCCATTCCAAAGAAAGGTCATCTGACAGAATGTGGAAATTATTAAACAATATCATTAATATTGCATGCAAGTAAAATTTTGCTGAATTCAAAAACAGTTGTAGCAGTATATAGGGAATGGCCAGAAATTTAAGCCAGATTCAGAAAAATGTATGGAATGAGGAATATCAATACTGATGTGAGATGGATCTTGGCTGAAAGCAAAGAATACCAGAAAGATGTTTACTGGTGTTTTATTGACTAAGCAAAGGCATTTGACTGTGTGGATCATAACAAATTATGGATAACATTGTAAAGAATGGGAATTCTAGAACACTTAATTGTGTTCATGAGGAAACTGTACATAGACCAAGAGGCAGTCATTTGAACAGAACAAGTGAATACTGAAAATTGTTTAAAATCAGGAAAGGTGTGTGTCCAGGCTGTATCCTTTCACTATATTTATTCCATCTATACTGAGTAAATAATCTGAGGAACTGGACTATAGGAAGAAGAATAGGGCTTCAAGATTGATGGAAGACTCATTAACAACCTGCAATATACAGATGACACAATCTTGCTTGCTGAAAGTGAAGATGACTTGAAGCACTTATTGATAAAGGTCAGGGACTATATTTTTAGTATAGACTCCAAAAACCCAAAACCAAAACCCACTGCCATCTAGTAGATTCCAACTCATAGTGACCCCCATTGGGTTTCCAAGGCTGTAAATCATTACAGAAGTAGATTGCCTCTTCTTCCTCCCACAGAGCAGCTGGTGGGTTTGAACCACCAACCTTCTGGTTTGCAGCCAAACACCTTACTCACTATGCCACCAAAGCTTAGTATGGAGTAGACCTCAATATAAGGAAAACAAAAATCCTCATAAATGGACCGATAAGCAATATCATGATAAATAGAGAAAAAACTGAAGTCAGGGATTTCATTTTACTTGAATCCACAATCAATGCTCATGGTAGCAGCAGTCAAGAAATCAGACATTGTATGGCACTGGGTAAATCTGCTGCAATGGACCTCTTTAAAGTGTTAAAGAACAAAGATGTCACTTTGAAGACTAAAGTGCACCTGACCCAAGTCATGGTATTTTCAGTTGCTTCATACATGTGTGAAAGCTGGACAATGAATACGGAAGTCCCAGAAGAATTGATGTGTTTGAATTGTGTTGTTGGTGAAGAATACTGAAAATGCCATGGAATGCCAGAAGAACAAACAAATCTGTTCAGGAAGAAGTTCAGCTGGAATGCCCCTTAGAAAGGAAAATGGTCAGATTTTGTCTCATGTGCTTTGGCCATGTTATCAGAAGGGATCAGTCCATGGAGAAGGATATCATGCTTGGTAAAGTAGAGGGTCAGCAAAAAAGGGGAAGACCCTCAACAAGGAGGATTGACACAGTGGCTGAAAAGATAGGCTCAAGCATAGCAAAGGTTGTGAGGATGGTGCAGATCTGGGCATTGTTTTGTTCTGTCATACACAGTGTCTCTATGAGTCAGAGCCGACTCAACGGCACCTAACAACAACTATTAATTATATTGGGAACCTTGGATTCTCAAGGGTAGAGAAAGCTGGAGTCCAAGTGTCCTGAGCTGCTTCTCTAGTTTTGTATAAGTCAGCATAACTTCAGTAAGACCAAAAGACTTAAGACTATTTTTTTCCAGCTTCAGAGGAAGAAGTAGAGAAGGTATAAACTGGAAAAAATATATCCAGCAAGAAAAGCAAGTAGCCTTTCAGGCTCTGCTGTGAGTGAGACTCATCACTGACTACAATCACCGGAGGAGATTATATCCCATGTATTTTACAAGGAAATAAAGTCACAGTTTGGATATTAATAAGACAGAAATGTGGTAAGGCCAATAGTTGCCCTAGTGAGGTCACTGTCCTAATTGGAAAATGGGCCAAAAATTTGAAATCTCAAATGTTGGAGTCACAGTGTCGTATTCAATCAATATAACTTATGCCTGGAAAATATAAAATGCTACTGAGTTGTAACACCTTTGGAAACAAATCTGAACTAGAACCACTAACAACCTTGAGTGGCCACTTGTTAAGCTTGCAGCAGACTATTAGATACCCATTTTGCTGGCAGGTCAAAGAAAAATTGTGCTGTTAAGTTTTTGTAAACTGGATCACTCTCCACCAAAACAAATACATTGTAGATTTGCAACAAGAACAGACTAACATTTATTGAGTGTTTAGTATGTATCAGACACAGTACTTTCCATGATCCCATAAATTCAGAGCTATTAGATTTAGAAAAGTTAAAAACTTGGTCATAATCATTCACACAGGAAATAGCAGAGCTTGGATTTATAAATTTCCCACCAGATGATAGTCACTAGATACATATGAATAAATTTGAATAAATAGGTTATTGAAATAGTCAAGATATATATTACACAAAAATACAATCTGAAGTTAATTCTTTAGCTATAAATGGTGATCATATGTTCATTTGGTCTCCTTGGTATCGTAAAATCTTTGCTTACAGACAGTAAGAGATAATATGATTAAATTGTATAATGTATGAAATATGCATCTTATATTTTTGAGTAGGAGCCCAGCTTTCTTTAATAACATAAACATACTACTTGTATTCATCAAAATATAAGCCTTAAGTACACTCATAAAGAGTTATTCTTCACAATCAGACCACATTTAACCTCTGTGCCTGAGTTTCTTCCCCCGTAAAATAAGGGTTAGATAATAATTTCTAAACTCTTTTCTCAATTTAAGATTTTGTGACTATATGAAATTTTGCTAACTGCAGCTCTCCAGTGTGACTTCAAGGGAAAGGAGGCTAACATCCATTTGTGCTGGACAAGGAAGGCATCAGTCAGTATCCTTGCGTGGTAGATGCTAGCTGTGTTCTCCCTGCTCTTCCTTGTATAGAGGAGTTTGGATTGAACTCTATTCCATGCCATGTGAAAGCACAATGCCCTCCCCAGTATTTCTGCCAATTCTGCAGAACTTACATTCTATTAATTTCTGCCTCTGCTGATTTTTTCCCTCAACCTGTAGAGCAGAGTAGCATCTTCTATTTTATCTTCTCATGCTCTCAAGGACTCACCTTCCACATCAAGCAGTTAGATTATCAAGCAATTTTTCTCTGTAATTAAAAAGAGTTTTCATCTTACAAGTACTATGTGGCTAGGCTTAAAAGTAATTTCACCCCCCCTGCATTAACTTCTTTCTCTAGATATGAAAGCTAAGGCACAGAGCAATAGATTAATTTGAACAAGGTCATACAGCAAAGAAGAGTCACAGCTTTGATTTGAATCCAGTTTTGTATTGTTCCAAAGCTCATGGTCCCTCTTTGAACATAAATATGCAACTCACCTCTCATATGAAACATATTTTTATTGGCATTTTAATATCATATATTCATATTTCATATCAATATTCATGTTTTTATTGGCATTTTCTTCCAATATGTGGTCCTAATACTCCTCCTGAAATTTAAGAGAACCTTGCAGCTAATAACTTACCATAAGTGAAATACTGTATCTCTGGTGGAAGTGTAACTTCACTGAGGTCACTCTCCTGGATGTAACTGTCCACATATTGTTGTGCTTTAGTTGCTTGAAGGAAAGCTAGGAATCTGGCTGTGAAAGCAGCAATGAAGATGGATAGCATCCCAAAGTCGAGTACATTCCACAACTGCAAAATGTACTCCCTGGGTCCTTCTAGCCAAAGCTCCTTACATTCTGACCACATCATTCCTGTCACAACAACCACAGAGAGTACAAATTAGATTTTATAGCTTAGACTGTGAAGATACTACTTTGTCTATCCTCCTTGCACATCTATAAAATGTCCTTCCTCTTCAGCAGTGTACTAGGCACCAGAAAGGCAACAATTGACTGTACAGGTCACTGAGGCACTTGGCAGAGTTAAATGGAAGGAGCAGCTTCCATTAAGGGAAATGATTTATTTGCTCCACCAAGTTCTACACAGTACTACAAGTGGCACCAGAAATTTCTCTACTGATACAGAGGGATAGAGGGAATAACTGAGGAAGTTTCTTCAAGTTAAATGATTTCGCCCTATAAGACTTTTGGAGGAGAGAAGAAAATATACACTTATAAAATCACAATAGTTAATTATCAAACCACAGGATTGATGGGGAAATGAGCGCCTAAATGAGAACCTGAACAAGGAGAACAATTTGCCAATCATCTAGGAACACTTGCCTCATTCCGCTACCCTCTCTCTTCAGTTCAGCTTCATGCTGGTGGAGTGAGGATAATGATTTGAAAAAGAGAAAACTCTTACTAGGAGGCCCCAAAATATTAAGGAGAAACTGAAAGCAGAAAATGCCAGTCTGCGAGAAGCAAACAAAATACTCTAATTTAACAACTAGTCTCAATTATATAAAGGGAAAATACTGTCAATATTTAAAAGAAATGTAATGGCTCAAAATAAAATTCATAAAATGATTATTTGACCCACTCTGAGGCCATAGGAGGCAATGCGGAGAAGAGCTAACCTATTAATTCATGAAGTAACATACCTAGAAAGAGGCTGGTTGAAACTGAGTAATTAATCAAAAATGACTTTGGATTAGTATCAACAGATAAACTGGCAACAGCCTTTACTTATTAGGATGGAGCAAAAAAAAAAATTTTTTTTTTCTCACATTGCTTACAATTTCGACTTTCACACAAGCTATTTAAAGTGGGGTATTGTGAGGTGAAGTAATAAACATTCTAAAAAAGGAAACTCTCCTACAATTTCTGAAATTAAACCAAAAACCAAACACTGCCATCAAGTTGATTCCAACTCAAAGCGACCCCTCCTTGGGTTTCTGAGGTGGTATCTCTATGGAAGTAGATTGCCCAGTCTTCTTCTGATAAGATAGAGTAACACTTTTAATAGACAATGCTAATCATTATGTGGGAGCTCTGGTAGCATAGTGGCTAAGACACTTGCCTGCTAACCAGACAGCTGGCGGTTCAAACCCACCAGCCACTCCTCGGAAGGAAGGTTGGGCAATCCTACTTCCGTAGTGATACTGCCTCGGAAACCCAAGGAGGGGTAGCTATGAGTCGGGTTTGACTCGACGGCACATAACAACAACAACAACAATCATTATGTAGACATTATTTTTAAAAGAAATTAGGAAACTTAAAACAAGTAGCTTACCAAGAACCCAAACCATGATTAGCATTTCAGTCCATGTGAACTGGGTGGTTTTCACCCTGAATATTTGTTTCGGATAGTCAATGACAGTGATATTTGGCAGTGTGGTGATGCCTTCGAACCTGTCTGAGGCGTTGAACACAAGCAGGCCCAGGAAGATGATGAAGGAAGCAGCATGTGCCACAAATTTCATAAAAGGGCTTCGCAGAATTTTTCCCAGCTGTAATAGAACAAAAAGAGGAAAAGTCTGTTTTGGAAAATCTGGCTTCCACTTATGGCAATTATTATATAGGATAAAAAAATAACTGAAAATAGATTAAATGAGAATATTTTCAAAATTCTGCTTCTGTTTCCAAGAACTACACATTGTGAAAATTATTCCTTTTAGGGAGATGTTTCCTCCAAAAATAATTTAAGGAGACTTCAAATTTTATTGTTTGTATATATGCAATGTACCATACACAGATGAATTTTTGGAAATCCCAGGGCATGTACTGGCTACTGTTGTTATTTTATATGGAAAACTATGAGAAGTCAAAGTCAAAGTCAAAGAACTCCAAATCTTAATGTGTTGTAACTGAAATTCAATATGTTGTAGACTCATGTAGCACATTAAAAACTCTTTGATAAAAAATCATACTGTTAGATAATTTAATTTTAGTTATTTCTAAATATTCCAAAATCTAGTTGTAACTTATATGATACAGAAAAAAACAAAATATTAGGATAAAGATAAATATTTTGGCTGCTTCTGCCCCAATCTCTAAGTAAGTTTACCTAATTAATAGTCATTTCTGAGTTTGGAAAAGCATAAGTAGTACAAAAGAATTCTAAAGTTCAGTTTGTAATTATTTTACAGTGACTCCTTTAAATTCCATGGATATAAATGTCCTTAAAAGTCCATGTTCTAGCAGAAATGAAAAACAATTCCTCCTGTCCCAAGGGCTTCCCCAGTCCAAGAATTAGGTACATTTGGTAGATTTATCAAGTAACCTCTCTATACTACATATACAGACCTTGCTTTTTAATGGCTTGTGACCTTAAAAAGGACTGAGGCTCATTTTTAAAAGGCTGCTCCAGACAAATGTTTTGTATGTTCAGAAGATTAATTTGATGTCAACAATTCACCAACAAATGTCAAATATTTCTGGGATTAAGCATGCATGCACATAGACAAATGTCACATTTTCCATATTAGACACAAGAAAAAAAATTATCAACAAATTTACATACTACCGAGATATTACACTGCTGCCAAAAAGGCACATTTGGGGTAGTGTATCCACAGCACATAGTGATTTCTTGCGAGTTGTCAAGTCTGTTTCTCCTAAAGGTTCATCTTTAAAAACTTTAAGTAACATGAAAAGAAAGTAATATACTGATCTTAAATTTGGGATACATGTAGAGAGGTCTCATTATGTTGTTTTTTTCACCCTAAGATGTTACAGCTAGTAAGGTAGGCAGCTATAAATTGGGTTCCAGGAATAGCTCAGGCCCTGTATTTCCCTTCTCTGCTCAGCAAAGAGATCACTACGATGTTACCTTCAGTTTTACAAGGGAAGAGAAAAAAAAGGAGTAGACTCAAAGGATGCTTAATTTGAACCTGATGTAATATTTTAACAGATTATACTACCTTAAAAGACAAGCACTTTAAATCTGGACTTTTCATTTCCCTTAGAAAAAGGAAATTACTTGGTTAGGACCATATGATTTTCGCTTTATTCCACGCTTGCTCATATAATTTATAGTTTTTAATTTTAGTGTTTATATTTTTAAAGAATTTTAAAGTACTTTTCCATAAACATAACAAAAGAACGTAGTTGAGTCATCAGAACTGATCAAAATGACAAACTTTGGGCCTTACATTGCAGCTCAAAACTGGAGTGAGAGAGACGAATATTCTCACATGTATATGGGGCTTATGGAATCTACTGGGAGAAACTGCTGAGTGAGAGATGAAGGATGGTCAGGGTCATGTGTAAGTGGCCTTGACTCATTTTGCCTGAAACTGCCTCTGATTTAAACAAAACCAGATTTTGGAATATAAAAATGGAATTAAAGGATCTCAGAACAGTTCTTCTCCTTGGCAGTGCCCTTTATTAACCTAATACAGATTCTGTTAGCATGACTCTTATTTCTTTCCACATCTTGTTTGGGGAAGCTCTTAATAAGCTGAGAGAGGAAATAAAGGTGGTGAACAAAATGATTCAAGCAAAACAATTCAAAAAACCCAAAACTCCCATTCCAAAATCTAAATGTTTTGGAACTTTCTGAAGGAACAGAAGGGGAAACTTGATCTGTACTTTATGGAAGACTTTGAATTAATACCACTGTTCTCAACTTTACTTAATACACCCAGCCTTAGATATCTTCTGACAAATTCAAAAAGTTACCACTCCAGTTCCCAAAGTAACTGTTTCTTGGTACTATTTCAGTAGAGCTATTTCCTTTACCTTCCATAGGCCAGGCCAGTCATCACTCTGTTTACTAAGCTGTCAATAGAATTAGCACACTCACTATTTCACTCAATCAGCATTTGTTCCTATCTCTTACCATGAGGACTTTATCTTAAAGTCCAAGTATTATATGCCTGCAAATGTGATCTAACTTGCTAATTACCAAATCCTTTTTTATCCCTTCTTTGAATTGATCCAGTAATTAAAAGCAGAATCCATGTTCTTGAGTCAATGAACATTCAGAGTAAGATAAGATCCTTAAGTCAGAAGCTTTTCCTTCCAAAGATACTTGATAAACCAGTCATAGTGGAAAGGGTGTAGAAAGGCCTTGTACCCTGCTGCAAGGTGCGATCCAGTAGCCGATGGCAAGGAACGGAAGGCCCAAGGCCACAACCAGCACAACCAGACACTTGATAGCTATGGTCTGTTCCCGCAGGCCCGACAGGTTCTCATACCAGATCGTCAACAGCTGCTGCTGGCAGTTGGGGTGAGCCACAAACTGTTGGTACAGAGACAGAGGTAGGTTACCACACCAACCTAGAGATATTAATGTACATTTTCCCAGAACATAAGCAGATTCTGGGAATACTCTCCTTTGTTTTCCTCCCATTTTTCAAAATTGCTTCAGAACTAAGAGAAGAACTAAAGTGGCAACAAGAGGGTAAAACTGATGTTGCTTTTAATCACAGTTCTTTCTGAGAGAAACTCTACATAGTTCACAGATTCCTTTCTGAGATCTGGGTGGCATCTGGTTGCCTCTGTGAAAATATGTCACATCTTGCTGTCTGCCAGTTGACTTGCATACAGTTAGCAAAGGAAAAGAACAGTTATTTGGTTTATTGTAGATGATAACTAAAAGAGAAATGTGTTAATTTAGTTTCCTAAACTCCTAAAATGCTACATGTATGAAAAATATATGTGTGATGTACCATATGTATGTACTACCACAGAGAATCTGCAAAAAAAGTCAGTGAACCTGCAGATATTATGCTGGGTCCACACTTGCATTGCTTCTAAGCACAGGCATCAAATGCTGCTTCCTTCCCATTCCAGAAATCTGTCCACATTACTTCTTATATCACAGGTTAAAAGAACACAAACATTTATCTCTGCCAGTCCCTTTATAATTACAATTCTGATTTGGGAAATAATGAGCAAATTATACTTAATTCAGGCCTGCCATTTGATTTTGCTGAATCATTTACCTATATCTATTTAGATGAACTGGAGTTTAAGACCCTATCTTGTTCATGTAGCAGAATTTATGTGTAGTCGGGCCCATGTAAAGGCCCCTATGCCAAAAGGTGCCCATTTGCTCCATTCTTCACTTAAGCCTCACCTACTGGAGTTACCAGAATGACTTTGTATTTACATCTATCCAACTTCCCATAAATGCAAATCCTGAAAACATAGAGACATCTCAACCAACATTCAATTAGGACTACTTCAAATTCTGTTTCTGTATCTTTAGTACAAGTCTGTACTATAATAGCTCACATGGATTGAGTACTTTACTACAGAAAAGTGATCAATTATCACTACATGCATGCTATGTTAGACTTCCTAAAGTCAGACAGAGTCATTTTATCTTCTTACACCAAATGTTTGCTGTAGTGTCTGACTCACTGAAGAGGCTTAAGAGATTTTGATGAGTGTGTGCATGAATCAGGTGGACATTGTTATGGACTAAATTATGTACCCCCAAAATATGTGTTGTAAATTCTAACTTCTATGCCTACGGTTATAATTCCATTTGGGAATAGGTGGTCTTTGTTATGTTGATAAAACAAGATTAGTATAGGATGTGTCTTAAGTCAATCTCTTCTAAAATAAAAAAGACATTAAACAAATGAGCAGAGGAGAGATGGGGTAAAATAGATGCCATGACACATGAGATCTCCAAGAAACCAAGAAGTGGAAGCTGAAGAGACAAGGACCTTCCTCCAAAGCTGAGAGAGAAAGAAAGACTTCTCCTAGAGCCAGCACCCTGTATTGGACTTTCAGTGTCCAACACTGTGAGAAAAGAAATATCTGTTTGTTAAAGCCATCTATTTGCAGTATTTGTTGAAATAGCACTAGATAAATGATTCAGAAGATGACATGGAATGAGGGATATCATTGCTGATGTCACATGGATCTTGGCTGAAAGCAAATAATACCAGAAAGATGTTTACTTGTGCTTTACTGACTATGTAAAAGCAATAAGCAGCATCATGATAAATGGAGAAAAATTTGAAGTTGTCAAAGATTTCATATTATTGGGGTCCACACTCACCCATGGAAGCAACAGTAAAGAAATCAGGTGTCATAGTGCACTGGGCAAATCTGTAGCAAAAGATGGCACACAACCAGGCAGTGCTTCATTCTGTTGTACATTGGGTCATAATGAGTCACTGCCAATCTGAGGGCACCTAACAAGAACAGCATTAGATAACTAAGAATTTGGTATCATGAGTGAGGTGCTGCTGTAACAGACACCTAAAACATGGAAGCAGTTTTGGAACTGGGTAATGCATACAGGCTGGAAGAGGTGTCTAATAGTAAAAGAGGACATGGAACGAAGGATATCACTGCTGATGTCAGATGGATCTCAGCCGAACGAAAGCAAAGGATACCAGAAAGATGTTTACTTCTGTTTCATTGGCTATGCAAAAGCATTTGACTGTGTGGATCATAACAAATTATGGATAACATTGAGAAGAATGGTGTGTTAGGCTGGGTTCTCCAGTGAAGCAACACCACTAAAGCTTATAGAGAGAAAGAGAAATTTATTTTAGGAAAATGGTCCACACACTTACAGAAGCTGGCAAGTCTCAAGTTCTTGAATCCATTGTCAAGCTGGAGGCTTTCCTGACTCAAGCAGCTTCAGGAGCTGACAAGTTCAAGGTTGGCAGGCAGTGTACTGGCTGCTGAGTCCAACGAATGATGAATCCAAGATCTCCAGGAAGAATGGTAGATTGTTTGCTTACGGACAGTTGTAGGCAGCACAGCAGGATCCCAATCCACAGAAGAGTGTCACTTTTTCCCAAAATGTCCATAAATATATTGGAAGTAGCCTACATCCCTAGGGAAACTCTCCTTCAACCGATTGGCTGTTCAAAACATATACATCCAATCTCATCATGGGAATAACCTACATCACAACTGCTTAAACCACTCAGAACTGTGGTCCAGCCAAGTTGACACATAACTCCAACTATCACAATCCATCCCCTTGTCAACTTGGTAGTTGTACACATCTCCTTAACCACATATAATCTTTAAATAAGGATAATTATAAAGTTATATTAATGTCTAACACGATACACTAACACACATTCAATCAAAATGTATTAACCCTGTTTACATTTCATAGTTCATAACAGAAGGAAACAAAATTATTTCATGTACATATACAATGAAGAAATATAACAATCACAGTCCTTGTTTCTGCGACTGGTCACATGGTTGCAGATGATATTCAGAACTACCTTTTTCTACTACCCATTCCATATTTCCCTTTCCCTCAGCAAGCATCTCAGCTGGTTGTGGTTCTTTGCCTGATGGGGTGACCTAAACCTTCATTCCTGAAGGGTCTGGGCCATTAGTAGTCTTATCAGAATTGGGTTGCTGTAATTTTCCATTGACATTAATCACAGGGCATGGTAGCACTAAGAGTTGTCCTAAAGATATGTATTCCAGACATATTCTTCTTTAGCTCCATTAAGTAATGTCAATCTAATTTCCCCTTGGTAACCAGGATCTATCATGCCAGATAGTTACAGTAATGCCCTTCTTTGTCTGTTGATTCAGAGGCATGAGGAAGCCAAAATGGCCGGGTGGCATTCTTAAATTCCATTTCAATGCAATCAGTATTGTGTCTCCAGGTGGGAGTGTTCCTCCTTTTGGGACTAAGCTCTCTAGACCTGCAGAGCATAGGATATCAGGGACAGGAAGCAAAAATTTTTTGAGTGGGTCACTAGGGGTTATAGTGAGTGGTACCACTCCCGTTTCCACCCCTTGGTTCCTGGACCCATGAATCCCAGCTATTGGAGAAACAGCACCATATATTGGATGCTGGTTTAGAGCATATACAGCCTCCTGGAGAACATTGCCCCAACTGTTCAAGGTATTGCCACCTAGCTGGTGCCAAAATTGTGTTTTTAGTAGGCCATTCCATCATTGTATCAAGCCATCTGCTTCAGGATGATGGAGAACATGGTAAAACCAGTGAATTCCATGAACACAGGCCCACTACTACACTTCATTTGCTGTGAAGTGAGTCGCTTGATCTGAAGCAATGCTGTGTGGGATACCATGATGGTGGATAAGGCATTCTGTAAGTCCACTTTGGTAGTTTTGGCAGAAGCTTTGTGTGCAGAGAAGGCAAATCAATATCCAGAATAAGTATCTATTCCAGTAAGAATAAAATGCTGTCCTTTCCATGATGAAAGTGGTCCAATGTAATTAACTTGCCACCACATTGCTGGCTGATCACCATGAGGAATGGCTCCATATTGCGGACTCAGTGTTGGTCTCTGCTGCTGGCAGATTGGGCACTCAGCAGTGGTAGTAGCCAAATCACTCTTGGTAAGTAGAAGTCCATGTTGCTGAGCCCATGTATAACCTCCATCCCTGCCACCATGGCCACTTTGTTCATGAGCCCATTGAGCAATGACAGGAGTAGCTGGGGAAAAAGGATGGCTGGTTTCCACTGAATGTGTCATCCTATCCACCTAATTGTTAAATTCCTCCTCTGCCGAGGTTACCTTTTGGTGGACATTGACATGAGACACAAATACCTTTACTCCTTCAGCCCATTCAGAGAGATCTATCCACATACCTCTTCCCCATATGTCCTTGTCACTAATCATACTCCTTCCAAGTCCCAGACCATCCAGCCAAGTCTTTAGCCACAGCCCATGAATCTGTATACAGTAGTACATCTGGCCATTTCTTGTTCCATGCAAAGTGAACAGCCAGATGCACAGCTCAAAGTTATGCTAATTGGAAGGATTTCCCTTTACCACTGTCCTTCAGGGAAGTCCCAGAAAGGGGCTGCAGTGCCTCTTCTGTCCACTTTTGAGGGACAGACTATTTTGTCCGTATTGAATATGCACAGTATCATCTATAAACCAGGCATGAGTTTTCTCTTCTTCAGTCAACTGATCATAAGGAAATCCCCATGAGGCCATAGGTGTAGACTGGGAGAGGGAAGGTAATGTGACTGGAGAGGACACCATCAGCATTTGGGCCACTTCCTCATGTAACTTACTTGTGTGCCTTCAGGTTCTGCTTGAGCCCGATCTCTTCTTTACCACTTCCATTTGATGATGGAGTGCTGCTGTGCACAGCCAACTTTATGATTCTGTGGGTCAGACAACATCCAGTTCATGATGGGCAGTTCAGGCTTCATGGACTTGGTGGCCCATGGTTAGGCATTCAGTCTCTACTAAAGTCCAGTAACAAGCCAAAAGCTGTTTGTCAAAAGGAGAATAGGTATCTGCAAAGGATGGCAGG